AACTCGTTCCAAGTCATTAATCTTTCCACAAAAAAATGAGCGAATGTCGGCCACATATATATATATTTTTTCTTCTCCCAGCTGGAATCTTGGACGTAAAACAATAGAAAGCGTATAGGCAGAAGAAATGTAACAGTACCACAAAAAAATGGCCATTAATGTACCTCCACTACGTTTTGCAGTGTGGACCAACGTAGTGGGGGTACATTTTCCCATGAGACTGGGTTGCCTGCTCCTTAAGTAGGCCACATAATGAGCAGACAGGCAACAGGTGTGTAGAAGTCAGCTCATTCCCTCAGGAGGAAGATCTCAGGCGCCCTCTGGTGGAGAAAGTTAAACAAGCCTCCAGATCCCAACAATGTGCGCTTAAATATATAATAAACATTCATGATTAAATGCTTATCCTGGAGCAAATGTCACATAGCAGCATGAGGTGACATCCATCAGATCAGAGCTCTCTAAAGGCTAATTTATACTTTGAAAATAGGTTGTTTGCGTGTCTGTTTCGCGGTGAACGCAGAGACGTCCCTGCCCCTTCCACAGACACTCTGCTGCACCTCTCCAATACTGTAGGTGACCACAGACACTGCCGCAGACAGGAGGCGTCTGATTGGTCAAGTCTACAACCGCTCTACACAAATGGTATTTCCTGTTTGGTACCCTACCGGCTGGTTTTGTTTGTATGACTGCCATTGTGGACCAGCTAGAAGAGCGAGGTGCGCGAGAATGCTGGGCTTTTTCCACCTGGATCCCCACTCTTTTTGGCCCTCATGTCCCTCCGTTGTTGCACAAACATGCCCCCACTTCCTCACCACCCCGGCTGTAACTAGACACACAGCTAGTTCCGGATTTTCCCCCCTGTGTTGTGACGTGGAATAACATAGCGCAGACCACGCTTCAATACTGAGCATAAATACCTGCAACAAGCTCACTGTGACACACTGCTGCGCAAGTATAACCAGCCCTTAACCCCGAAATCCCACATCCTCCGTCACCATCGTTCCTTTGCGTGATTTTTATTTTTAGGATTTGTGGAAAAAATGGAAGAAAGTTCCCATCCCTGCATCACCTGTTGGATCTATGAACGTTTTTCTATGCTTCCACCAAACTAGCAGCAGTAGTGGAGTTTGGAGATGCAGTCCACTTCTTAAATCTATCTTTGCACTTCTCTAATTTATCCAGAAGATCTGCAATCACACTTTTTCTCTCACTACCAGCTTGGTGATCGGCTGCATATTTAACATGTCTTCCCTGGAAATGCCTTTCAAAATTTTTTTTTTTTTGACAAACTCTTATTACAAAGCAAAAATGCAGGCAATCCTTCCTCATTGATAATGAAAGCAAATGATTCGGTCTGTTCTTTGAATCCTCTTTTGTCATCAGCTATCTTTCTTTTTTTCCTTTGGGATCCATGGTCCGAGACATACCCACCACTTTGTTTGCCTGTTACCGTGCCACGCTGGTTGCAAGTTATCACCACTGATATCCATGGCTATGATGCAAATTATTGCTTAAATGTATTTATTATACAAATGTTTATAGCAATGGAAAACAATACATTTTTGTATGATATCCTGTACACCAGGGGTGTCAAAGTGGTTCCAGAAAGGGCCGTGTGGCTGCAGATTTTTTTTCCAACCAAGCAATAGTACACCAGACTCCATTCATCTCATCAACTGAGTCCAATCTGAACATGATGACTTTATGAGACGGATGGAGTCTGGTGTGCTACTGCTTGGTTGGAAAGAAAACCTGCAGCCCCACAGCCCTTTCTGGAACCAGTTTGACATCCCTGCTGTACACCATATTAACACTAGAAATACCAGGATTTTTCTGCCTACCTAGAACTACCAGAGAGGGGTCAATTGACCCGGCGGCTTTTCCCGAATACACTAATCACTCATTTT